CCCCAATTCCCCAGCGCTGTTCCCATCCCCCAATTCCCCAATAAAAATCTTAAAAAAAAAAAAAAAAGAGTTGGCTTGGGATGCCACCTCTGAGCAGCACGGCTCCGGTTCCGATCCCACATGAGGGCCAGTGACGCTGCACTCTCTACAGCTAAGATGGTGAACAACAGCTCGACCTGGAGCTAAGCTGCCGTGAGCAGACCGTATAGGCTGTAGTGGGGCTGGCTGGCAGCTGGCGTGCGCTTTCATGAGCTGCCGTGAGCCGCAGTGAGCGGCAGTCCAATGGCCTGCAAGCAATTGCCTCACCCAGGAAGAGCGCAAGGATAATACCAACATGGGCCAGTGAAGCGACGTCCTCCACAACTAGACAGAAGAACAAAAGGACAGCAAGCAACTTGTCTGTTCCCCTTCCCCCATTCCCCAATAAAAATCTTAAAAAAAAAAAAGAATTAAATTTTAACTTTTTTATGTAGGAAACCACTCCAATATTTAATCTTTTAAACTATAACGATACAACTGTAAACCATAAAAATTGACAAATCCGTTTCCTAATAAACGGACAAGAGGTTTAATCTGTCCCGGCACTATATTTCTCACAGGGAATGTTTTCAGGAAGGAGTAGGGAATTATAATGCCTCAGGGGTTTGTAATTAAGCTGTTATATGTACTAGGAATTTGAGAGATTTCCATAAGCCTGGAGTTTTCCTCATATCAATTAAAGTAGGAATTTGTTTGCATTAGGAATGGTATAGGCTTCTAAACAGGAAAGTTCTCTAGAGACATAGACTCACAAACACTGACCTAAAAATGAAAAAGGCACCAGGGAACTTAAAATACACCCATCTCAGATCTTGATGTTCCTTGCCTAAATAAAACAAACACTGTAGGGCTGGCTGAGTGGCGCGTTGGTTAAGAGCTGGCTTGGGACGCCAGCTCTGAGCAGCAGGGCCGCGGTTCGGATCCCACATGAGGGCCAGTGACACTGCGCCCTCTACAGCTAAGATGGTGAACAACAGCTTGACCTGGAGCTGGGCTGTCGTGAGCTGCCGGTGACGGCATAGGTTGCAGTGGGCTGCCATGAGCTACCGTGAGTGGCTGGTAGCCAGCGTGAGCGGCCTTGAGCCGCCGTGAGCAGCCGTCCAGAGACCGGCGACCCATCCGCCTCATTCGGGAAGAGCGCAGTGATAATAGCAACATGGGCCAGCGAAGCCCAGACTGAAGAACAAAAGGACTGCAACTTGTCTGATCCCCTTCCTCGATTCCCTAACTCTGTTCCCCTTCCCAAATAAAATCTTTAAAAAAACAACAGCAGCAACAAAAAAAACAAACACTGTATTTGGTTCCCCAATTTTCTTGCCTTACATCGTATGGCTCATTCAGCTACATATTAAAAGCCCAAGTGCTAATGGAAACTAGAGTCAAAGGGCAGCAATTCAATGGAGAAAGGAATTCAATGGAAAAAGCCCCCACTAATATTGGAATGAAAACAGTTATGCAGCTTCAGAAGGAAACCCACGCTCAGAAAGTTGAATATGTTCCCAAACTTAGGATCTAGTCTCTCCCAATTGAGACACAGCCCCTGGAGTGGGTTAGTTCCTGAAGGAGGGGGGAGAGGGACACCTGAGCAGCCCCAGGAATGAACTCTGGGAGCTCCACACACAGCCCCTGACTCCTGTAAGCATGGAAACGCTCTCTCCCAGGCTTCCATTCTTGCAGTGAGGAAACTCTCAACCTGATTCAGTTTAAGGTTCTGATCCAAATGAACTTCCCAATTCATAAACCCTTTGTCCACCAGACAGAACCCCTGATCTTCACTTTCTCAGTGTTCATAAATTATACTGAGTGCACCTACACTGTGGATGCAAAATTCAAACATAAAGTCTAAAAATGTCTAGACTTAAGAAACCACAACCTCAGAATGGTTGTCACCTCCTCCCTCTCCTCATCACATGCACCCCCAGCTTTCCAGGGCTGCCCCTTCTCTCAGTGTAAAGGCCCCTCCATGGTGGGTGTGAGCAGGTAGGACACCTGCAGGGGAGGCTCCCCAGGAAGAACCACTGGGCCTTCAAGTACTTCCCTTTGCAGGTCAAGGGGGCTTTAGCCTGTCACTGACCACAGGCCTTCCCCTCCACACCTCCCCCACCCCCAGAAGCCTGGGACCACCATTGATTTAAATGACATAAACTCAATGTTTGAAAATCCAGCAAAATCACTGAAACCCAGTGATAATGTGGAAAGACAGAAAAAAATCTTTAACTCACTTTTACTAGTTCAACCAGAAAAGCCCAAGTGTGGGTTCCATTCAGAAAAAAAGGTGTCAGTTAATTACTACTTCCATGGCAAGTCATTGTTTTGTAATAATTTATCACACGTGGATGAGTCTGCTCTGCAAGTCTAAGCTCTAGAATTTCATTTGAAAATACCCAAAAGTAAAGAACAGATCTCAGAAACTTATTAAACATGCTGAAGTGAAAAAAAATAGTGAAACCAGAATTTTTAACAAATGAATTCGTAATAATGGAATTTGTTTTTCCCTGAAATTCACCATTCTTATGCCTCTTTGGAAATATAGTCTTTCAAGCTCTATTAATTAAGTACATTTCACCTCTATTGGAAAACGGAAACTTAAATAAATAAATAAATAAATCTTTTCAGGGTTACAAACCCAGGGAAGAAGCAGTGCTGACAGGAGAGATCACCCAGGAAAGTTTCCCATAGGACGTCCGTGCCCAGGGAAGGTCCTGGGGATTTCATACGTTTTCCAGGTGGTTATTCTTGGCTTTCCCTTCACATAAATTATTCAGACAAAAATACATCTTTAAGAAACAGCCATCCATGGCAATGTGAAAAAAGGATAAACAAGTAAAATATTGGGACTGTTTCAGATGCACATGAATGACAAATAGTGGATAATGATGCTGTGATTCAGGGAGAAGTGCAGTTTTGGGGAAAAAGGGACGGATCTGGAAATTGAGGTACTTATTGCCAGGAAGAGCTAGGCTGGGGGGCCTGGGTGTTGGATTTGACATTCCGCTCCCCAAACATTTGGAAAACTCAGGCGAATACGGCAGCGCTTCGAGAAAAATGAGGGGCTAGGGACCCCACAGACCACAGCTCTTCCACGCAGGAACCCCAGTGTCGGAGTCACGACTGTCCCCAGATGAGCCTCCTCGTGTTCACTGCACAATCCGCGGAGAAGCGGGCTGCGGGCGCAGAGCTACCCTGAGAGGCTCCGGGGTTCGGGCCGAAGTCGCCGCAGAGCAGTGATGGGACAGGACGCCCAGGGCCCCGGCAGCCCGCCCAGCCCCTACGCTGTGTGTCGGAGGGGACTGAAGTCCACAGAGGCGCCCCGGGTCCGCAAACTCCGTACTTGGGTGGTGGTGGGGGGTCATGGGGAGGAGGGAGGCCCAAAACCGCCCTGGCGGTTCCAGCCCGTTCTAACCAGCCCCTCCTCACCGTCTCCACATCTGGGGCAGCACACTCACCATTTCTAGGTTTCCTGGGTATCCCTGAACCCTTCCTACGCCTCCCACGACTAGTGCAGGTCACAAAGCGATAGAGGTTTGTGATAGAGCCACCAGTGACGGTGAAGGGCAGCGACACAGTATCTTGAGCGCCACAGGAATAGTGACGTCCATACCATCGCTGTGCGTCACCCCACCCACCTGCCCCAGCGGCGCCCCTGATTGGATAGTTCACAAGGCCGCGCCCCCTCGTGCCTGAGTGACAGCTACGGGGAGGACGCGTGGTTTCGCTGAAACCCGTAGGTTTGTGGGCGGGTAACCAAACCAGCCCGGAATATTTGCATAAACAGGATATTTTTCTAGTCCTGGGGCTGTCTTTGTTGTTTTTCCCCAGCTCTTTGTGTACTGGAGGGCACCGTTATGCCTTTGGAATTCCTGATTTAGTTTTCCAGAAGGAGCAGGTACAGACAAAAGGGTGGCCCATGCTAGGCCTGACTGGAACAAGAGGGTTTTAGGTCCTCTACAGGTCAAGGGGCTGGCGGATAAGGCTGAGTCCACTCATGGAACTGTGACCCTTATTTATAAACGCGTACGCTTAAATGTGACATGACCATCTGTAATAGAGTCTGGCTCCATTTTAATCTTCCGATCTTTGCAAGTCTTGATCTTCCACCCATCCCTTCCCCGAACCCTCTCCTTTGGTCCTTAAGGGAGAGAATTCCTGAGCACTTGGCTTTGGCGGCAAGTTGGAACCCCACAGACCCAGCCTGGGTACAAGGACTCCTCTCCTAACCACAGGGTGTGAGATGTGTTCATTACATTCTCTTGTGTACATTTTACACTAGAAGGAACTTTAATATAGAGCATCACATTTACATCAGTCCCTAGAGAATTTTGAAATGTGACTATAATATCCCTAAGGCAATTGATTCCTATGTTTAATAACAAAAAAAAAATTGTTGTGTAAATATGGGATGCACCTGGAAACTTTTCTCCCACCAGTTTTACAGAGGTGTAATTGACCAAAGAACTTGTCTATATTTAAAGATTACAACATGACACCTATACTGTACTGTATACTTGAAATTTGCTAAGGCAGTGGGTTAAGCATTCTCACCACACACACAAACAAAAAGTAACTTTGTGAGGTGATGGATGTGTTCATTAACCAGGAAACTCTAATATGCCTGTAATTGCACTGCAAACTCTTAATGCATTTACTTATATGAACAACTTTATTGAGATGTAATTCACCAACTATACACTGCACCTCACTAAAGTCTCAGTGGTTTTTGGTATATTTACACATAGGTGCAGTCATCACCACAGTAAAACTTTGAACATTTTTTCCACCTCAAAAAAACAAACAAACATAAAAAACCCACCAAAAAAACGCCGCTCCCCCTTTTACCTGTAACTCCCAGTCTATCCATCTTCCTCCTCCAATCCTCTGTTCTGGCAACCCCTAATTTACTTTCTGTCTCTGTAGATTTCTTTACTTGGGGCTTTCATATGAAAAGAATTCTATTATATATAGTCTTTATGATTGACTTCACTGACGTAGCATAATTTTTTAAAGATATCCATGTTGTAGCACGTTCTTCGTTCATTTTCATAGATGGGTAATATTTCATTGTCTGTATAAACTATGTTTTGTTTATTCATCTGTTCATGGACATATGGCTTGTTTCCATCTTTTGGCTACTATGAATAAACAGTATAAATTTCATGTACAAGTTACTGTTCAAACATGTGTTTACATTGTTTTGGGCATGTAACTGTGAGAAACGTTGGTGGATCATGTGGTAATTCTAGGTTTAATGTTTTAAAAACTCCTAGACTGGTTTTCAGAGTGCCTCCACCATTTTATATTTGCACCACCCATATATGAGGGTTCAAATTTCTCCATGTGTCCTTGACAGCATTTGTTCTTATCTCACTTTTTTATTTTAGCCATTTTGGTGGTTATGAAATCATGTCTCACCGTGGTTTTGATTTGCATTTCCTTGATGACTAATGATGTCCAGCATCTTTTCACATGCTCTTGGCCATTTGCATCTCTTCCTTGGAAAACTATGTATTTAAATACAGACATTTAAAATGTCTGTATTTAAAGATTATGTGTTTTCAATCTTTTGCTATTTTAAAGTTTACTTATTTGATTTTTTAATATTTTGGTTTTAGGAGGCTTTTAGATCTATTCGTTACAAGTTTTATATCAGATATACGAAGGTCAGACAATTAAATTCGCGAACTCATCCTAGAAAAAGTGCTACATACCTCATTGCTGAATATCACTACGGTCACCTTTGAGGTACCCCCCTTGGGAAGCTATGCACTGATGCCAGTGCCTAGTCCACCCTTCAAAACAATTTTGGAACTCCTTTTCTGGAATGGCCATTAGAGCTGTCATCATTTTACATTGTCCTGAATGTCCCTTGATGTCCTGAATGTCATCAAAATGTCTTCCTTTCAATATTTACTTTATCTTCGGGTAAAGAAAGAAATAACTGGAGGCCAGATAAGGTGAGTAGGGAGGGTGTTCCAATACAGTTATTTGTTTACTGGCTAAAAACTCCCTCACGGACAGTGCTCTGTGAGCTGGTGAATTGTCTTGATGCAAGAACTATAAATTGTTGGCGAAAAGTTCAGGTTGTTTTTGTCTAACTTTTTCATGTAGCCTTTTCAGAACTTCCATTTGGTAAACTTGGTTAACTGTTTGTCCAGTTGGTACAAATTCATAATGAATAATTCCTGTGGTATCAAAAAAGGTTAGCAACATCATTGCAACAAGTTTGCAAACTTAATTGTCAGGCCTTGCATGAATTGCAAAATTCTCCTCCATCCTGTGGATTGTGTTTTTACTCCCTTGTTTTATAGTTTTTATTAGTAATGGCAATATGAGCATGACATAAAATTTACATTTTCAACCTTTTAAGTGTGTAGCTCAGTAGGGTGAAGTACACTGACATTGTGAAAGCAATTTCCAGAATTTATTTCCTCTTCCAAAACTGAAACTCTATACCCATTAAAAAACTCCACCCATTAAAATGGAAATCTCATGGAGAAAAACTGCACAGAAATGTATAGTAAAATATTTGACTAAATAGCTGTACACTATTGCTGAGCAGTTGACACAGATACATTGGCTTGTAGTTTTCTTTCCTTGTGGTGTCTTTGTCCAGCTTTGGTATCAGGGAGATGCTGGCTTCATAAAATGATTTTGGAAGGCTTCCTTCTACTTCTAGTTTTGGGGATAGTATAAGAAAGATTGGTATTGGGGTGATCCCTGAGTCCCCCACCTGCTGAGGAGATGGATGAGGATGGGCTTCCTGTCATGAAGTCAGGGATAGACTTGATCAAGGTGCCAGCTATTCAACAGAGAAGAATGGTGTCATTTCTAAACTAGTTTGTGGTGCACACAGTACAGTTCCTCAACTGTTTTTCTACAGTTTGTGAGGAGAAACTGGCAGACCTTTCTCTTCATATCCAACAAATTGAAACACGTCTCAATATTTTGGATGCAAAGTTATCAACTATCCCAGGCCTAGATGACGTCACATTTGAATTATCTCCTGTAAGTGTCACTAGTGTCACAAATAAATCACATTCTGAAACCACTTCAGCACAGTCACAGCAGAACAGTTTACAAGACTGGACCACAGGAAAGTAAAGTTACAGCAGAAAATATCTTAACTGTAGCCAAGGATCCAAGATATGCCAGATATCTCAAAATGGCTCAAGTGGGTGTTACAGTGATGGAAATAAGAAACAAACTGATATGGGAAGGACTAGACCCAGATCTTCTTGAAAGGACAGATGCTCCAGTGCCTGATGGCGAAGGTGAAAAAAAATACAGAAGAAAGTTCAGATAACGAATCTTCTTTTAGTGACTAAGCTTAATATTGTTAACAATTACATATATATACATGTATAAGTGTATATTTACATTCTATCAGAAAGAGAACCTGAACTTGAACTCTTAGTCATAAAAACATCAAATGGCCAAATATATCTACCACTAAGCTTCCTCTGTGTTAAAAATAAATAAATAAAGCATTTATTTAAAAAAAAAGTTTGGTATTAATTCTTTAAATTTGTGATTGTTATTTCTTATTGATCTGCTCAAGATTTCTATTTTTAAATTCTTCTTGGTGTATGTTTCTAAGAAGTTATCCATTTCTTCTAGGTTATCCAATTTGTTTGAATATAAATGTTTATAATATTCCCTATTGGTCCTTTTTTATTTATGAGGTGTTTGTTGTAATGCATCCTTTTTCATTTCTGATTTTATGTACTTCAGTCTTCTATTTTCCTTTCAGTTAGTCATGTAAGGGTTTGCCAATTTTATTGTTTCAAAAAACCAACACAGTTTTGATATTTTTCTATTGTTTTTCTATATTCTGTTTTACTTGTGCTGTACTCTTTATTATTTTGAAAATTTTGCTATGTTAAGTTTTCGTTTGACTTTTTGTAGTTCCTTGATGTGTAAATTTAAGTTGTTATTCTGATATCTTTCTTTCTTACTATAGGTGTTTATAGTATAAACTTTCCTTTTACTACTCCTTTTGTTGCTTCAACAAGTTTTTACATTTTGTGCTTTAATTTCTTTATTGTCTCAAGATATTTTTAAAATTCCCTTTGATTTCCTCTTTGATCCAGTGGCTGTCCAAGAGTATTTCATTTAATTTCTGCATATGTGTAAACTTTTCACAGTAAGACTTGAGGTAAATAAGCCTTTAATATGAGATTATATGTGATCTTGAATAGGCATTAGATTACTATTAATGTGTGCTTCAGCTATGGGTGTCAGAGGCTTTTTTTTTTT